GGCGGGGTGAGCGGCGGGGCTGAAGCTGCAGCGCGGAAAGTTGAAACTCCTGTTTATTTACGGGCGCCCTGACCCAATCCATCAAGCCCTGGGCACCTCCAGAGTAAATGAAATTTTGCTGCCGCCTCCTTACCTCCATCGTGGTGGCCCCCTCCCAAAGCACGCGTGTGTTAAAGAGGGTCTTTAAGCGATGAAGGGCAGCAGGCAGCTTAGATGAAGATGACAGTGTAGCTGCAACCTTGACAGTTCTTCCTTCACCCAGGAATAAAGAACTGATGTGCAGATTGATACCTGGGGGAGAGGCTGTCAGCGAGCGGGACAGAGACGGCAGATAAGCGACTCAATCAGTGTCAGACCTGTCCTGCCGTAACACCGCCTGTAAATCACTGCGGTTAAAGAGGCGCCGCCGCTAAAGCGAGGAGCAGAAAGCAGGTAATAGAAAAACGGGGGGCGAAGCAGATGTGTGCACCGGCTGGGTTAAAAGCCTGAGCGCGGCGGTCAGGGGGGGGGGTCTGTGGGGGGGCCCATCTGCATTTCCCACGCACAGGCAGGTACCCGCTGCCAGCAGGGGCTGGAGTGGGGGGACACGGGGACACTTCATGCAGCACGAGAGCAATCAGCGGCTGAGCGGGCTAACAAAATCGATTTCACCGTTCTCAGCCTGCTCCGGGATGAGGATCCAGCCGCTCCAGTATGTCCTCGAGAGCTGATTGCAACTGTGCACGCACCCTCACTGTCACTCTCACTCCTTCTTCTTTGAAATATTCCTTTGCTTTTGGGTTTAATGGGAAATCTTTTCAAATAATGACTTGCTCTCTGGACAGCTGGGGGCTTGGCAGTGAGGGGGAGCCATGGGGCTGAGCTAATGAGTGGATTCGTAATTAATTAATTGCAGGCAGGTGCAAGTGGAGCCTCCCTTTGCCTCTCTCTCCTCTGTCTCTCTCTGAAGAGCTCCTCTGTCTCCTGGAGCCTGGAGCTATCACCAAGCGTCCAAGGGGACTGAGTAAAACTCAGTGCCAGCTTTGCCATGGACAGTGACTTTGGCAGGCAGGATAGAGGCTGGTGCTCACAGCCCCTCTGTGGGGACCATGGGGAACCTGCCCATTGCAGCACATTGCCTTTTCGTCTCCCTGTCTGCCAGGCTCCCCACGCTCAGACCATGGTGACTGGCACCCATAAAGGCACCTTCTCTCTGCCAGGCAGCACCCAGCATCTCCTGACTGGGCAAGCTTGATTGCACTCTTTACTGCAGCTGTTCTGACACAGTTCACACCTCCCAGCTTTGCACCCCAGATGGGCCAAACCCGCCCGAACTGGAGAGGCGATGGTGAACCCCCGAGCAGTGACCCCGAGTGAGCTGAATGCCGGTGCAGCCAGTGCCATCGCTGCTGTGGCCACGCCGCTTCCTCTCAGTCTGACTTTGG